TTGTGATCTCCAAACTCGTGGACCAAAAACTGACTCAATCGTTTTTGGGAAATCGGAAGCTCCTCTTGGTTCCTTGATTCTTCGTTAACAACTTCATCTAATTGAGAACCAATTCTTTCCTATGTAACAGGAATTGCAATAACAACTTGATTTGGTTTAACAAAAAATTTTCTCAATGTGGAACTCCCACTATCACCAAAATCATTTTCCAGAAATTTAACAGTAATTGATTCAACAATTCTTTTACCTTAATTTGGACAGTAGAATTTATATCTTTTTGATCGATACTAAATAAAATAACCAGGAGTTGATTTCGGGTGTACTTTCTTTTCAAATGGGTTATAAATCCTAACTTCCCTGTACATTCCCAAATCTTAAAATCGGCCAAACTTGAATTATTTCCTGTCCATAATTCAAAAGATTTCTTTGCAATAGTTTTACTTGAAACTTTGTTCAAAATATACATAGTATTTTCCAAGGCTTCACCCTATAAATATTAAGGCAAATTTGTTCTATTCATTATGCTCCTAACCATATCTTTTAGAGTTTGATTACATATTTCAAAAACACCATTATGTTCAGATGTCCTTGACATGGTGAGTTGATGCACGATTCCACACTCTTGTAAAAACTTTACAAAATTACTCATATTTTGACGAGTCAAGAGTTGTCATATTTTCACAGTATTCACCACCACGATCGGATCTTACAACTTTTTTTTATTTTTTTTTCATATTGTTTCTCTACTTTCATTTTGAAGACCTTAAAATTTTCAAGTGTATGAGATTTATCATTAATCAGGTAAACATATTTATATCGTGAGAAATCATCAATAAAGGTTATGAAGTATTTGTTCCCACATATGGTGGAAGGCAAAGGTCCACTGATATCAGTACATATCAAGTCTAAAATACCTTCGCTCCTAGTGGAACCTTTCCTCGTAAACTTAGCTAGCTTTCTACAAAATAGTTTCACGAGGACTTGTTCAAGTTGATGCGGAGAAGGAAAAAATAGACATTATTTAGAGGTTCTTTTAAATTTAAAACTCCATTAAATATGTTGACTCAGCAATATTTATATCTTGTATACAGATGCATATTTAGATAAAAAAAAAAAGTTTTGCTCTATTTGAGCCCAATTTTGGTAAAATAAATTTTTTAATATTGATATATACATGTTTTTGAAGAATGTGTGGTTAAAAATTAGGAAAATGTTTTGAATTACATGTATAATTATTTTATTGGGAGAATCTAATTGAAAATGAGTTTTTATTTTATATTTAAATAAGTTTTTAGAGAATGTCACTTTAATATGGACTTTATTTTTATGTTAATAATAAAAGACACATAAACATCATTATGAGTAGTCGATAAAATTTATTGATGATCAATTTTGAACTTAATTGTCGACCAAATAACAAGTCATAAAATGCACTGAAAATGCTGTTCGTGTAATTCCTATGAGAACTAACTAAAATTGGGTATTTTCAAATTGAAAACTTGATGACTCTCGAGTTTTTAGTACAAAATCGAGAATTAGATGCTTCTTTGTTCCATTTTCATGTAGGGTTAAGCTACTTTGTCAAAAAGATGTTGACAAATGCTTTAACATAATGGGTGATGTTAAAATATAATTGAATAAAAAGGTTGACTGTATTTTAAATAGTTTAAAGATAAAAATGGCACGTGATATTATGTTAAGAATTATGTCAATCTTTTTTGATACTGTAGCACGATTCTTTCAGGTAAGATATTGCTTTTCGTTTCTTTCCTCCAAAAGATATTGATTTTCATTTCTTTCCTTCAACTGATTGCACCATCACAATCATAAAAATTCCATTTTTTTCTTGTATGATTCCAAACTTAGTCCTTGTCAAGACCCAACCCCATCTTTAAGTCAAATTTCAACTTGACCAATACTTTTTGATAGTATTCTACATCATTGTACTCGAGCAGGTAAAAACATATTTCAATAATACTCTTTAAATATACGATACCTTAAATTTTAGAGTCTGTTTGAAAGTGATTTTTAGAATTGATTTTTTGACCGTTAGAAGAAAAATGGGGTCCATCCGTGAGAGAAGAAGTTAAATATGACAGTTGGAATAGTCAAACAACGGTCAAAAAACAATTTTTTGGACCAAAAAATCACTCCCAAACAGACTGTTAGTTAGTCAATCCTTGAAATAGACTCAAATACTATTTTATTTTAATTGTTTTAATATAAGTATGACTTTGCACATTTTGATTTGTATTTTATAACGATTGTGTTTAATAAATTAGAAATTTGATACTACATTGTTAAATTATTCTAATAATATTTAAGATCCCATTTGGGAGTGATTTTGAGAATTGATTTTGTGATCGTTAAAAGAAAAGTAGGGACTACTTGTGA